GTGTGGGTGTGGGAATGGGTGTGGGTGTGGGTGTGGGTGTGGGTGTGGGTGTGGGGTATGGGTGTGGGTGTGGGAGTGGGTGTGGGTGTGGGTGTGTGGTTTTGGGTGTGGGTGTGGGGTGTGGGGTGTGGGTGTGGGGTATAGGTGTAGGTGTGGGAGATGGGTGTGGGTGTGTATGTGGGTGTGGGTGGCTCGGTGTAGGTGTGAGTGGATGGGTGTGGGGGTGGTGGTGGGGTGCGGATATGAGTCCCTTACCAATAATACCGGTACCCACACCCTCCCACTGACACCCACCCACATCCGCACCCACACCCATTCCCACACCCACACCCAAAATTCAGACATCTTATTTTTATAAGAATCGATTACTTTTGCAGATTTCAATCATCGTTATATCCTCAAGATAAATAGTGTAGCAACTTCAAAAACAAAAAAGAAAACCAAAGTATATAAAGGAGAGTTATATAATTATTACAACTTGATAGCACTTCATGTATTGGTATATATTTCGAAATTTATTTTTTAAGGTTATTTTTTACGGTAAACACACAATTAATGCACATGGAACGATAACAGAAATTTTTTTCTATTACCTCGTTCTGCTTGATATCATCGTATGTACAAATTTCCCTCTGTATAAAATTGCTCAGACAAATTGCTTCGCTTGCAACGTGTGTATTGAATAAAGGTATGTTTACAATTTCGCATGTAAAAAAAAGGAAAAAAATCCCAAGCAAACTAATATAAATGAAGATGCGTTTAAAATTAACTTGCTGTATAGACAAAGTACACCATTTGTAAAAGCAAGTTAGCATAATCAAGAAATTCTGAATAACCAAGTTTCTTGATTTCAATGGCGTGAGTAGCTTACAAAAATAAACTGAATTATTACAATAGGAACATTATAATTGATTAAAATATATATATGATCAATATTCTCAGTCATCATCAAAATAAGCTAAACATCTCAGGTCGAACGATACGGTTCGTATATCGGGCGCAGTTGTACGGTCCGTACTACTATGAAAGCAGAGCCGTTAAACGGCTGTATACTGTGAAATACGGCCCATATATGATGCTGTTTGGGGGCACAGCAATACAGTGCGTAATTTCACAGAATACAGCCGTATAACGACTGCGTCTTCGTAGTAGTACGGATCCGCATTCTTCGATCTGGGATGTTTGTTTTTCAATTAGTTCTCTTCATTATTTATTATTGACATTACAAAGACATCATGCATTACGTTGCTGAGTACTATAATTTTTGTTTTGTATTTCTCTGGCTGAGTGTCATAGTTATTTTATGCTTTATTTCGCATCTGCTTTCCTTTTTAATCACTGAAGAGAAAGAGCTAATCTTAACTAAATTCATTAGTTTTTTCATCGTAAGAGAAAATTGTTTAATTATTATTGTAACTTTTAAACAATTAAAATTCTTATGATATTAATCGAAATCACAGTTTTGTTCTGTTCTTTCTGACCTGATCAAAAGTCTTTACATACAAGTAGATATTCTGAAAAATTAGTTGATATAAAGCGTTTAATAATTAAGACATGAGTTCAAATTAATTGTTTCTCTCAAAATAGTCAAATTGTTTTTAAATTTTGGATAATTCACTACCTTTAGTAATTCCGTTCATTATTCTTAAAGTATACAAATCAAACTAAAGAAAAGAACAACAGAATCAACATCATGCATTTTTAACGTCTTACATTTCTATGTTGACTTTATTTGAAGTCATTCTTCTGTTGATCTCTGATATGTTAATCATGAGAAGAAGTTTGATAGTGTATTTTTGAGGATATTGAGTAATTGTTTGGATTAGTTTACTAACAGAATTTTATACTTACATTGAAAAAAGTCAATTTTTTTTTCAAAACTTATTTGAATTAGTCTAAAACGGATAAATTAAACTTAACGGCAAATAAATAGAGTTTTTTGAGTAGCTGAAATTTCAAACGCAAAGTCAATAATTGTAATGTTATATATTTGTTTCTATCGTTTTATATGAGATGTGATTATCGTTTCATCACAGAAAAATTAGCTTGATATTTGTAAGAATCAACAAAACTTTTACGTAACAAATTCTTCTATGTGAGACAAAACTGAAGACATCCTTTCTCTAACTAAAAAATAAATTCTTTGAAGCGTGTGAGTTTCGGTGTTGTTATTATTCATCAGTTCATTGAAAAGCACAGACACACTCACATATGCATTCATACTATTTGGCAATAAATAAAATTTGTTCCTTGTGGTGTGTTCGCCAAACAGCGAAATGAGAAATGGACAATAAGATGTTATTCTATTAATAACTACAATTCACATTTTTTTTTCATTCACTTTCAGACATCTGTTATTCTTCTTTTAATTTCTATATCGTGCGTATATATCATATATGGCTGTAAGTGTCGGAAAAGAAAGTATTAATCAACGTGTTCTTCGTTTTACCGATGTTGCTAAAGAACCGCATGAAATTGGTATGCATATTAGTGGTTATGAGAAAATGCCATTAGTATCACTAGAACAAGCAGTTGAACCACTTGTTTCACAGTTACCAGCAATTGAAACCTATGCGCATGCAGCCAAAGAAAAGTGTAAAAAACCAGCTGATAATTTGACACGGGATGAATCAGCTGCAATAATGTTGTATTCGATGGCATGGCAACCATCTAATCAATGTTTGTATGTTGCTTTAAATGCTGCTTTACGATCGACTGATCCGACAAGACTTAAACCATGGTTTTTATATCTTCGACTCTTTCTATTCGCTTTATTTCATCTTCCTCCGATTCCCAAAACCACAGTATTTCGAGGAGTTAAATTGAATTTAACATCGCAATTTCAAAAGGGCGAAAGAATCATTTGGTGGGGCTTCTCTTCATGTACAACTTCAGTTGGGGTTCTACAATCAGAAACATTCTTAGGAAAAACAGGTCCACGAACAATGTTTGCCATTGAATGCCATTCGGCTAGAGATATTCGTAGACATTCATATTATCCATCTGAAGATGAAGTACTTCTATTGGCTGCTACTGAATTTCGAGTAATGAGCATTCTTGATCAAGGTCATGATCTTTACACCGTTCAATTGAAAGAAATTCAAACTGGTAAGTATTGGCTCGTTCCAGTACCAATTCGTAATAATCCCAAATATCTGGCCAAACTAAAACCGGGTGTGTTTGAATTCAATGATATAGTTCTGAGTCCTATTTTTCATTTACATTCATACTTGAAAGATCATTTGAAACGTATATCAGAATTGTGAAGTCCGTCAGTTATGTAATTAATAATAGGATTTATATCTAGGTAAAATATTCAGAAACATTAAACATGGGTAGAATGAAGAGTCGTAAGAAGACTTATAAAGCTGTTGCTGTGCTACTGAATAATAATGCGTAATCCAAATTGAAGAAACTGTTAACTTGATCATTCAATGACGGCGAAGAAAAATTACTTTTCTTGAAGTTTTATTAATTTATGCCAAAATAATAAAGAATGAGAATATGCAATATTTTATGAAAAAATTCATCAATTTCATTGTTATTTTGTAAAATCGATTAATACATAGAAAAAGTCTTTCGTAATCGAAAAATTCTAATAAAGTAAAGAAAATATTTCTTTCATACCCATTCTTAAAATTTGTTGAATAGTTGATATTTCAAAATTGCATTTTCTTCGCAACTCTCGTTTAAAACTGCTATTATCCTTCCTTTAAGAACTCATGAAAGCAGCACAAAACATCAATAATACGTGTCCTGAAATAGTGTGAGTACGAGTCCGTGTCAGAGCTAAGAATATTAAATCATCACATTCACACCGTTCATATCTCAATGATATTTTGTCTATAGATATTAGACTGTAGTATAATCAAAATTCCAAAAGGATTCGAGTTTCTGTTGGAGTAGAGTCAACTTATTAGATTCATAATATGCACATGCATTTCTAACAGATTATAGGGGATCCAGAGAATGGAAAATTTTCATTTTCGAATTTTCATCTCAACATATGCTTTCATTGAGAGTAGATTTCATGAAATTTGTATAATCAGAAGTTCTACACACATTCTCTTCGAAATACTCAAACTTCAAAAAATGTGTTGTTCTGTATGATCTTTAATGTAAATGGGACACGTTTTAAATTGAGACATCAATTTAAAAGAGAGTTTGCTCAGATTTTCAGAAAATTTTCCATTTTCTGGGGTTTCTCTCAAGTCTCTTAGAAATCCATGTATATATTAAGAATCTAATAAATTAATTCTACTTCTGCACAGAAGCACCGTGGATTTGTATTGACTATTTTTATTTTACCATTGAACATATGCCACGAATTGTTACGGGCAAGACACATTATGCTTTTTTTTTGCTTCCTGTTCTATTTCGGTATTCTTGTAATTTTACTTAAAAGATACATTAATAGCTATCAAAACACAAGACGAACAAGACGATGAAAATGTTGTTGTAACAAATACTTTTTATATAAAAAATTCTTCACCATCAACATTACAACAAGATCCTGAAGTGCAACGTACTAGAAGAATTATTTTCATTTTACCTCCTGTTTGTCTGGTGAGTTTTCCATTGTTGTTTTAATCTTTCATTCTTTTTATTATGTTATAATAACAAGAGAAAATGATATTCAACATTTTTTAATTTCACCTATTTTAAATTAATATTCTTCTATGGTATTATTATTATTCAGTTTTATTAATAATATTAAATTAAAAACATCCAGCAATAATAAATTGAATTGAAAATAAAGATTGAATACTGATAAAAAAAACATCATACATATTATTGTTATGAGATTCTTTTCTATCGTCATCTTTTAGGGGTTTTAATGTATTTCATATATTTTTCTAATGATTTTCTTCCATATTATAATACATAAATTTTAATTCAAACATTTTCATTGCAATTATTAGTGTTTCTAGTAATGAAATATTATTTCAATTTTCATTAATAATTTTACCATTAATATAAGCATCGAATGAATATTCCATTATAGGGAGGAGTTTTAAAAATTAAAAAAATGTAAAACTCTTTATTAGTAAAAGCTAAAATTAATTTTTTTAATGAATAAAATAAATAAATAGAAAAAAAAAGGTCAAATTTTATTTTAATATTGAAAAGAAAAGATTAGTTTAAATATCAAATTTTGTATTATGTTCCAATATATAATTTTCTTTATACTTTTAAATAGAAATTGATAGAGGAAAACAATCGATTTTGTATTTTTTTTCCAATGCAAAATAAAAGAAATGAATTTACTGAAATCATAAATATATAGAAAGAAGAACTACAGGACTTTTTATAAACAACACTTTTCATCAATAGAAATCTTCACTCTTTAGTTTATTATCGTGATGATTCGTTTGTTCTACAGGTGCTTTTTTTTTACATGAGTTATCAGACCTTATTTCGACATAGAAGAAAAACAAGTTGACTTATTGTAATTAGAAGATTATATAAATTTCAATAAGAAGTTCTTCTGTTTTATTTATAAATACAATAGTCAGAAGAAATTCAGCTATTCGATAAAAAAGTAATTAATTTAAATTAATTCATTCAATATTTTTATTATAAATAGAGCTCAATAAAACTCAAATTACAAACTTTAATACAATGGTCTTTCAGCATTTAGACGTGTTTTTGTTCTTTTTTTTTATTTGTTTATAAATAGTTAAATGAAGGGATATTTCATTATCTTAAATGAATTTCAGTATGAATCGAACTTTTAATGTTGATTAAAATTGTAAAGCTTTCAAAGGAAATAATTTATTGAGAAAATTTTAAATAAAATAACGAAATATTGAGTTATTTTCATTTGTAAAAGAAAATTTAATGCTTGTTTTTCTATAACTTATTCATAATCTAATTTCAATTATAATTTACAATTTTTGACTCGATACTTAACACTCAATTCTTAACTTTGAATACTTTGAATTTGTTTTAATTTTATCATAAAAAAATTGCATTTTCCTAGAAAGTAAAAACAACTGAATATTTCAAACGTTAGTCCTCATTACTTCACTAAACAAGACTCATGACTATTGATTGAGAGGATACGCTCTCTCGGCTTTTAGAAATTTCGACTGTCTCTTTCTCGAAAATCTTCGGATTCTACCCTCATCAAAAAACGCTTCGAAAATTGTGGCAGCTAGAGTACGGGTGTTAGTAAATCTAATAAAGTTTATTCGCTCTCCAAAACAAAAAAGAACATTTATTTCGGAAGAGAAGAATACGATTTATCTTTCTATGACAAAAACTCCGCTTTAGCTTGTTTTCGAAAAATCATTTTTCTTGAGAGATAACCATTAAAATTTATTCAAATTAATATTAAATTATCTTAACTTGTTTCAATAAAACTAATTATTAATTACATATTTTTAATTGATATGTTTAGGCACTTTCTTTGATCGGTATATCAGCAACAGCTGCTTTTACATCAATTGATGTTGAACATTTTACGCTATTCACTCATCATTTAGCACTACTTGCTGCATATTCTACGTCAATTTTATTGTACCCTTTGGGTGTTTTTGCTGCTTATAAATATTCTAAAATCGGTTTAAAAGTGGTAAGATTTTTATCTTTTATTTAAAAAATTTTTATTAATTCAAAATTATTTCTATGATATTTATGGAAAAATAAATACAACTCGAATAAAAACTAAAACCGATTGCTTTCTTTTACTTTTTCGTTTCAACTAATTAAAAGAAAAAGAATAATTTTTAGGATGTGGGTGTTTGGTCTCTTTACGAATGTTTTCCCTCACCCACATCCACATCCACACCAACACCTACACCCCCACCCTTTTAGGCCAACCTCCGATTTCTTTCATTCAAGACTTTTCTGACACAGAATGTAACGGCTTTGTTGTCTTCGTTCTCCCTGATTATTTATTTTCCTATCATTCTGTATCCTGTTCTGTATCTTCTTTCGTATTCAATTGTTCTCTCTGCAATGGTTGCGTATATAAGCGTGTGCTTGGTATGTAAACATTGCGATTTGTGGTAGAAGAGAAAGAATAAAGCATAGTTCCATCAGTGCTAGTTCGCTGTCTCTCTCTGAATCGTTACACTGAAGTTGTTGAGAAATCGTTCGGTACCAAAACAATTGCATTTACAAACTGTTGAAATCCTGTTTCACTCAAAATATTGAAATAGCTCATGAGAGAAGCTATGCCATAATAAAATAATTCTAATTAAAGACTATAATAAACAACCACTCCTTCTAGAACCTATCACTACAGTAAAAACTTCAGCCGGAACGGTCGATGCGTTGCTGATCAATAACATAAATGAAATAGAAATTACTTTAACTAATTGATAAAATATTAATTTGACAATGGAATAAAATATTAACATTAAAGAATTTGATAAGTTTGAATACAAGAAAAATATTTGTTGATTATCTTTTGAAATATAAAACTTCAAAAACAAATAGAAAGATAAAATCAATTTTAATACGACATAAGAATTATTTTTAAAAATAAACATTGTATTTTAACTGTCTTTTAAATACAAAATATATATATCGATATTTCGTTATTGATAATGTTAGTTAGAAAAATATTTTTATTATTTTGTTATTAAAACAAGTATACTTGTATACTTAATATAGTTTGCTTGGCTTGGTATTATTTACCAGATTGGCGGTGGTATTGGTTATATATTGATTGTTGGTATTAATGACGATGTAGCTTTCGCTAGAAAAAAAGTATCTAACGATAATAAAAATCAAGGAACTATGATTGATACATCAACAAGTATTGCTATTTTTACTACGATTCTCATTACACACATTATTTTTTCTGTAAGTTTTTGTTTTTATTTTATTCAATTTTCCTTCTTTTGTTGAATAATTATCTTATTTCTTTTAGTCTATTATTGCAAAAATGTCATTCAAATTGGCCAAACTTATTAATAATTACAAATCTTTATCTATGCAAGGAATTTAAGTATTCTTAAAATCGATATTGAGAAAAAAGCTCATTGAAACTTTAAATGCTTTATCTTCTTATTTTATCCATTATAAAATCAATAATAAATATCCCTCTCTATCAAGTTTTTTTTTCAAAAAAGAAAAACATACGATCATAAAGCAAAAATGGTTTGTTATATTAAATATAAATAAAAAACCTTTGTTTTTTATTCGTATGATAAACAAAATTCTTGAAGGAAAATCATCATACAAATGGATTTATCATTATTAGAAATTAGTATTTTTTTTTCATTGATTAAATGTGTGGGGCGCAAGTCTTTAGACAACCAGTGCGCTTATAGGAATTCTTTTAGAAGAATAGATGAGTGTCAGTTAGAACCAGAATTTTACGTTTTTCTCGAATAGGGTGTGGGTGTGTGGGTGTGGGTGTGGTCGTGGGTACGGGTGAGGGTGTCTGAGGGTGTGGGGGGGTGTGGGTGTGGGTGTATGAGGGTGAGGGTGTGGGTGTGGGTGTGGGTGTGGGTGTGGGTGTGGGTGTATGAG